CATTAATGGCTCAAGCGCAAAAAAGGGAAGTATATTAACAAAACTTAATAATGACGTATTTGGGTGACATTGTCAATACAAGTACAGAGAATGCAAAGAAGCCGAGAATTGTACAGTAGAAATAAGATGAAATTTAACATTACAAAGCACGAGGTCACATGCCTCAGTGTCTATACCAACAATTTTGCCATGGGAATTCACCAGTTGCAAACAACAGAAATCAGAAATACCTAGGAATTTTAGTCAGTCACAGACTTACTATATGCCATATCAATGTGGATGTAAATTTAAAAAAAAAAAAAAAAAAAAGACACACACATTGTGCATCACTTAAGCTATTTCCAGTACAGATAAAAATGCATTAATGCTATTCAAGCACTCGTGAGACTTACGATGTCGAATACTGTGTATAGTTCTGACCTCCTGAGAGGTGAATTTAAAGAGGTTCAAAAGACATGAATTTAACCTGGGATAGGTATAATGAAGCACCGTGGAGGATTAGAAGCGCGGGGAGCCTCTCTTGGTAAACTAAAAGCACTTGATTAGTGAAAGCGACAACCACCAAGCTGTCAGATCTAAAATACCCCAGGATTAAGGAACCTAACTAGTTTTGAGGCAGTAACTGTGTGACAGGGTCTTTGTGATAGTGGGACCTGGACTAGATGTACCACAATGTTCACAATTCTATCTTCCTACATGTAATAGTTAGCTGAACTGTTCTTGTACAATTAAATCTGGGCAAAATTGCACTCTGCTCAAAAAGCTAAACTAAACCAGAGTGACCTTATACAGGTCAGCATATATACAAGCAGCACCACAGTACAGACTTGAACAGAAAGCCTGGAGGTCTACTGGTAGATTATCTGACCAATTGCCTGACTTTCTGTCAGTAAATAACACCTGGAACCCACTTCCTTTTCCATTATTCTATAAGAAAGTTTTCAAGACTAAAATTTATTTAAATATCCTCCCCATACCACTTCACGGTTTGTAGAAAACACATGCACAATCTACGAAAGCCTTTGATGCTGACTGGCTGCAAAGTGCTCTTGAAGTTTCTCTGGAAATCTCTAGATTTTGCAAGCACTCCCTACTACCAATGCGAATGTTTCACTTGACAAGACACCGATGTACAAGGCATTTTCCCATTGCATGAATGGTGACAGCAAGGAGGTTCTAATATAGATTGCAGTCTAATGGCATCCTTTAATCAGGAAGTCATATCATTAATACCACCTCTTGAGCTATGCTGAGAAACTCCAGTGAGACACAACTCCAGTTCGTGGGGCCTTATCACTGTAACAGCTACAATAACTTGGCTGGCTCTGCAACAAAGACTGAAAAGCAAGAAGACTTGGTGATGGCACAGCTCTGAAGGGTGCTAGCATCTGTACTGCACTTTGATGTAGCTGAATAAGGTGATACCTATTTGAGAATTATTATGGATTTGATAAACAGAGGTATAGGTCTTCTACTGCCGGAGAAGTTTGGTTACGCCTGGTCCATCTGAGACCTTTTATCATATGAAAGCACTGGACAAAAAAAAAGCCTTCAAATGAACATGTGTTTAAAGCTACAATCTCATTACACATGATGTATAGTTATCTCTGAAGAGAAGGCAAGATTCATAAATTTGTGCAAGACAGAACTGAAAGCATGAGAAATGTAACTTCCTTCAGTACAGGCTGCAAATGTAGCAGAAACAAGGCTTTAACACAAACAGCATGAAAGCTGCAAGCAGCTCAAAGGCGTTGGATTTAACGGCAACTTCGTCCTCTCAAGGCAGCAGCATGAGGAAACTAATGGCTCAACTGTGAGGGGCAGTGCTTTTAGAGGGTGACAGGAGCGGCAGTCTCTTCTGCACTTGATGGCCCTAGGAACCTATGGAAGGTCGTAGATGAGAATTGGGAGACTTCCAGGAAGCTTGAGTTTACACCAGCAGTGGGAAGGTATCCTTGAAAAGGAAGTAGAGCTCTCCATGTCTGTCAAAGGAATCCTGAGCCCAGGAAAAAAACACAGAGGCCAGAGAAACTGGATCAGGGGTGTGATGGGGAATATGTTATGATGATTAACGAAACCTGTCTTTTGGGATCAAACCTGTTATGGGAGAACTGTATTTAAGAGGGCACAGGAAAGGAAAGGTCTGGGGATAATAAAAGAGAAGGAGAATGGAGAGTAAATCCAATGTTTGCAGAGGAAGTGAAAGATTTAAGCACTGAGAAGGAAGCTGTTCAGATCAAGAACAGGGAGACACGAAAAACTAGACATATCTCCAGGGGACAGAAGAATTAATAACTTTCCGGACAATCCAGGCCCCTTGAACTCTGTTGTATGCTTAGATTGATTCACTTTGGTCCTACTAGGACACAACTGCAAAAATTAGTATCCGGCAGCCAGAGAGACCTAAGGAGGAATCCATCTTCTACAGGCACAGCTGAACTGTCAACCAGTTTTTGACCAGCCTCAAATATTGAACTGAAACATCTTTACAACCCAGGGGGACCCAGCATCAAGTCATGTACTTCACAGCCCAGCACCACCGTCCATCCAGCAAGTGGCAGTGCTGGCACAGCTAACCCAATGCAAGAGGACGACACAGGCCGGGCTGCACTCCACACTCCCAGCCCCCAGCCCCAGCCCCAGCTATGCTCTCTAGACTTTCACCCACTGCCTACTTACTTTTTAATTAGATTTTTAAACAAAAAGTGAAAGTATTTGCTAAAATCCCCCTAATTACACTAAAATGCTGAACTGATTGTGAAGGGAATAGGAAATGAAAGCGACTCACCCTCTGAGGGAGAATTTTGTCAGCCATCTTCCTCCTCTTGGCACTGTACATTTTTTAAAGAAAAAAACACGTTACCATGGTGACAGATCTAGGAGTAACGAGGCCACCTGCTAAATTATCCTGACATCTCCACATGCTGGTGCACAGCTGTGCATGCATCAGCAAAAGGGTTTCACCCATGCCCAGACCTAGGACCCCATCTCTCAGCAGCCTGGGGAGATGGTTAGCTAGGAACAAATCAGGGCTGTCTGTTATGCATCTTGGAAAGAAGTGTGCAAGTTCTTTGATCTCAGGATTGTCTATGGTGCAGGGCAGCAATGTATGCACGTACATGTGTATATGCCATCTATGGATACAGAAGGAGCATGTAGGAGGACAGCATGCATGGCTGAAAGTGTAAAACATACCTATGCATATCCACACTTAAGAGGTGAATGCCTGAGGACTGAATATGAACTTGTTCAAAGAGGTCAGGGTATGCATTTATTCATACTTAAAATTGAATGCCAATGTTCATTTGTGTATGCAAACACATATATACATAAAACTCTCTATGTACATAGATTTGTTTCATTGAAACGCATTTGTGTATGTAATTTTACAAAGGTAAGGGGGTCTATACCTTTATACATGTTCATCTTTACAAATACATATGTGGAAAGATATCTCTGTGCCTGCAGTGCATATGCACGGCAGGTCAGCACACATATAAATGTATTCTTTTTGAAACATGTCTGTGCTCATATACATAAACACAAATGTATATATGCTTAAGAAATGGTACTGTCAGTAAGATCTCCAAATATCCCCCCTTTTGAAATCTTCAGATTCTAAGAAATCATTTCTGCCCATCAAACTGTCACCTAGCTTTCTCTAACAGGGCCAAGAGGGAATTCCGGCCTTACTCTCATATCTCCGCATTTTGTGAGACCTTTATCTTAATCAGGAGATGAATCACTCCATCTGTGACAGACAAACAGGAGAAACAGGCACCTGCTGCTGCCGTTGGGGCAGAAGGATGCCTTACTATTTCTACAGAGGAAGTCCCTTATCAGCCATGCTCATGTAGAAGCTGTTTGGAAACACACGTGGTTTACTCCTTTTCTACACTTGCTAGTGATAAGCCTAGCCTGAAATACCAGATTCTTTCCCCTACCCACAGAAGCCAAGCCTGAGGCACTCTCTGTGGCTGGAAGTACAAACTACATCTAGAACTCCCTCCTTAGGGACAGAAAATGCATCCAAGCAATCACACCCCATTTCTTAGGTGAACAGTGTCCCTTTTTAAAGGTACATGAATAAACGGTTCTGGAGAATTCCACAGTGTGAGCCTCTGAGACACTCCACAGCTAACAAAATCAAATCTACACTCAAACATTTCACAGAATCCACAGCAAAAAAACGCAGAAAGCAATGTCTGAGCAAGCTACATTTTCTTCAAGGGAAACAATATGCACCTGCAGCACCCCCCAAAGACTTGCAGTTAGAACAAAACAAAACGAATTTCATTTCAACCAGTTCTCCAAGAGTCTATTAAAGAAAGGAGAATGAATCTGCTTTCTGTCTCTATCAAACCTGCCAAGAAAGGCAGATTACACCTTCTTGGCCCTTTTGTGCAGTAAAACAATAGCACTTGACAAAACCCAGAACTGGAGCTGAGGTGTTGAAAAGCTTTGCCTGAAAAACTAGACTAGGTTCAATGGGAGAAAACAGGGAGGCAGAAATGAATAAGGGGAAGGATTCAACACATTGTCAGGAGGACAGGCAAGGCAGAAGAAACAGAGAAATTTGTCTGAGTATTTAGGAAGCACTAGCATAATCTGGATTCACCACAATAGAGATTACTGTTCACTTCCTAAATAAATGTAGTGAAGTTTCCCTGCTTGGGCAGGGGGGTTGGACTAGATGATCTCTACAGGTCCCTTCCAACCTTAATCATCCTGCGATTCTGTGAAGTTAAGGCAGCTGGGGAAAAAAATGCTTCCTCCTCTGATTTATGCCATTAAACTTTAGAGAGGAAGTTATTCTTATTTGATGATCCAAAAAACTGCTAAATGCCTAAAGATTACCCTAATTATCCAACAGTAGCAGTCTGTCCCTTTATATCTGCCCAGCATACTTGAAGGCTAGGCAATATTTTGTGCAGTTTCCTGAAAATCTCCTGGGAAGTGCTGTGGAATGTGCATTTCGGATAGTGCCGGGCACAGCCTCCATGACGCACATACATCTCTTGTACTCACATGCTGCACCCACACACATTCCTTCTGTATTCAGTTTTATATTAATGCTCATAGGATTGGGGTCCTTTCCAGATGCATCTCAGATATAAGCGTTCCTAAGTCTGGCTTGCTGTTTCAAGGCATAGAACCTGGACAGAGCAGAGTTCCTGAAGCACTGAGCTGAGAGAGACCTGTTTTACTTACAATTAGATGGGATGACACCACCAAAGCACTGCCTGAACACTGTCTATACACATCTATAATGATTTTGCAAAAGGCAGACCACCTACATGGCAGTTGTCAACAACTGGCTCACACTTAGGAATTCAATCTGTTGAGGTCTCATCATTTGCAAAAAGAAAGTAAAGAACTGTTACTGAAGAGTAGTGCATTCAAAAGTGTACAAAGTTAGAATAGTTTTAAAAGAAAGTTATTTTAAAAAAATCTCCTAGTTCTGGGAAATTATTTCCTATTAATTTCTCTAGTCATTTTATACATAGCCCTTGAAAACTAACTTTTATGACCCTTCTGCTGGCATTATCCCATAGTAACCACAGAATAAGTATTCACATGACAAACTAAAAATCTTTATCAACTGTGTTTTGTTTACAAACCATTTTGTTAGTTAGGAAACAGAAATTATGAAGAATAGATAATTAGTATAGTATTTGTACTGCATTTGAAGAGAAGTGATCACTGGCAAGTACTTTATAGGCTGAATACAATGGCCAGATAGATAGCCTGACACACATGCATTATAACTACAAAACCAAACATTAGTAAAGGTCAGTTTGTTCAGAGACCATTGGTAAAGAGTAAAATTCATGAATTTTTTTTTCCTCCTTTAGGAAACTGACAATCTATAAACCTTTCTGTTTGCCTTGCTCGAACTAAAAAGCCTTACCTATTGATAAAGAGATCAGCTTTTCTTCCTCAAATTGTCCTCCCATGTTTCCTTTCTGGAACACTCACCTCCTGGTTCGGTTCTGAGTGGCTTGCTGCTGCTGCTGCACTTGCTGCTGCACCTGCTGCTGCTGGACCTGCTGGGGTGCAGTGCGCTTTCTCGTTGTTTCCATCACAGTCTGGGGCATCCCTGGTCGCACTGAGGGACTTCCGACATATGGGGGGCCTGGAGGACCCATGGGAGTCCCCTGATGGGGCATTCGAGCTCCTGATGGCATCCCAGGACGCTAGGGAAGAAGCAACACAGAAAAAAGTGCCAGTTTGGTCACTGCTTCCTCAGCAGAAAAGATATTTGTAACGACACTAGCTCAGGCAAGTTCTCAACTTAGGCCACCTGATAAGCACTAAGTAGCAACACTTGGCCAAAGAGCTTTGGCCTGGTATTTCCTAGCCAACAGAAAGAGGAACTCAGGGACAGAGTGGGCAGGAAGCATGAATGAAAAATACAAGGCTTGGGAAAACACTGCATGGTCAGTAACATACCCAGGACAGCTGACAGGAGAAAGTTGTACTTTAAGACTGAACAAAAAGTTCCCTGGTGGCTACATGCAGACAGAAATGGTGTGGTCCACCTGCTAACCAAAGCTGCAAGCAAGAGCACATCTCCAGCGCTCCAGCCTCGGCACCAGCGGGCTGCTTTGATCAAAAGGCACATTGCAACAAGCAGAGGTGAATCATGAAACTGTGGCAAAGCACTTTGCACTGAGGCCTCTCTTCCACTTACACTGGAGAGCAGTGTAAGTTTATAAAGTCACAGAAATCCTTCAAGCAAAGCTCATCTCTTTGATCAGGCCTCTCCCTTTAGACATTCTAAAGATCTGGCATTTATGTTGATTCCAGTGTGCTCTGCAACAGACATTAGGTATCAGACCACAAGCTTAATCCTGTGTAATACACACAATAAACTCAACTCTAAGCCCGAAAATTTTATAATTGACAAGGAAAAACACAGTAAAAAAATTCCCATCTATAAAATATAACTCGAAACAGACAGAAAAGCTTAGCTCCAATCTAAGAATTATCAACATATTTATTGCATATGCCTATATACTTATGAAAATACACACACATCCACAGACAAGCTATTTTCATTTGAACCAATATGTAAGTAAGAATATTCATACACAGAAGTCTTCTGAAAGTCCCTCTCCAAAGACTTTTCAGTAAATCATGGAGCCACTAGCATCCATTATGGACAGATAATTGGCTAAAAGACACGAAATCAGCAAATGGTACTGACAATAGAAGAAAGGCATATGTGGAGTTCTGCTGGGTCCTGAGCTGTTCGACATATCCATAACCAGTCTGGAGAAAGCAAGGAAGTGAGAAAATTTGTTGATGATGCTGTTATTCAAAGTATCAAGGATGAAGGCCAGCTTCAAAGAACTGCAGAAGGACTTTATAAGATTGCCTGTGCAATTAATTGGTAGATGAAATTGAGTATCATTATGTATAAAGTGATTTATTTGAGGAAAAAAAGTAATGCAACTGTCATATATATATATATATATATATATAAAGGCGACTAAGATATGGAGCAGTACCCACATAAATAAAATTAAGTACAGCAAGGCTCTTCAATCTAGGCACAAATGGTCCAAGGTAAACTACGGGGCCATTTACAAGAGCTCTGCAAAACCGCAAGTATCCTGGAGAGGGCAGATGGGGACCAACTGTTCACTGCCCCTTCCCATACATAAGCTAGGGCCAACAGAGGAAACCAGGAGGAACTAGGCTCATAGACACCAAAAGGAGGTGGTCATCACATAGTGATAGTGGATCTTAGAACCCCCTTCCAAAGGATGCTGCAGAAGCTAAGAGTCCACATGGGCTCAAGGGAAGGCTGGACAAGCAGTTGGAAGAGGTGAATGGAGTGTTCCTACATACATGGAAACCAGAGTCTGTGAAGGCACCTGGCAGAAGTACTCAATACAAATGCTGGGTCTATTTGTTGTCTGCTGCAGCCATCTGTTATGACTGCAGAAACAGCACTGTAGGCCCAGAGGCACCCTACATCTGACCCAGTAGTGCTGCTCCTGCATGATGTCTCGACTGCTACATTTCATAATGGACTACCTGTTCTGGCTGCAAACATTAAGCTTCAGCTAAGTGCTGTATCTCCAAATTAACCACCCAAATCCTCCATGGTCCCCAAAGCAAGCCCTGATGATCATCAGCTCACCCTGCTGATCGCAAATATTGGACAGTCCTTGGGCTTGGATGCACAAAGGAAGTGGGGCAATAAAAGAAATGAAATGATCAGTAAAGAATCAATGGTGATGGCTGTCATGGATAGAGAAGGAAGGCTGAGGCAGATGAGACCAGCACAGGAAGACAAGTGGGTGGGGATAACAAGTATTGGTGTAAAAAACTTCTTACATGTAGTAATGATGGTCTTAAGTATGGCCACTGAGCAGAGCAAAGCAGGAGGCAGCAAAAAGGCAAAACACGCTTTGTGCAGGGTTGAAAACATTTTCTCCCATATATATGGAGCCATGAAAACCGCTGAGACCAAGCAGCTCTCTCCTTTCCCATCACTCACCCTCTCCCTCTAACCCAGGCAGAGTCAGCAGAAACAAATAGCCAAGAAAATACTTCACACTCAAGCTTATGTTTAAGCTCTTTCTGTTGCCTGCCAATCCACAAACTGTGGCCTTCCTCCAGCAGAGGGACAACCTGTTGTTGCCTGCCAATCATCCTGGGTTATTTGACAGCCATTCAGAAGAGACAGGATCCCGGGTACAGTCACCTCCTGTTCATCCCTCCTGGAGACTGGCCACAAGGCTCGAACTGCAGGCCCGCTTTTCTGATTCTACAAAGAACACAGCAAGGATGGCAAACAAGGCTAACAAGCCAAACCAACTCTTGACCTAGGTTTGACATCTTTGAACTTTCTTCATTTCCCTTTGTTAGCCATTAAAATAGAGAAATGCAGGAAAGAATGAAACAGAGGAAAATGAGACTGCTCAAGCAAACAAAGTGATATTGTAGGCAATATATTCAATCCTAACCTTTGGCTTATCTCGTTTCTTCTCTTCTGATACTCCTATCTCCTGTACTGTCTGTAGCTAAAATACCACTCCAAGGCAAGTGCCATCGCCCTGTTGTGAGCCCACCAGACTTCCAGCAGATAAAGACATAAATGCTTTGTCTTCCTAAACATATCTAATGGAACATGAGCAGCACCTTCGCAAAAGATTCTTTCTCTTCTCAACACATATGCAAGAGAAGATGTGACAGACAACTTCACACTATCTTTCCCAACGCTGATCTAAAGAAAATATCACAATACTGGAAATGTACCACAATGCCAGTATATCTTTTGAAGGATGAGATCTGTGAGGTACCAGGGGATATGGGTTACAATCTGCCTCTTCCTCTTTTTCTTATGTTATCTTAATGGAGAAATGGGATCTCTCCTGAGTAAATATCATCCATGGTGAAGGCTGCAATGCAAAACAGCACTGATACATCCTCCTTCCTAGGAAGTCCTGCACCCCAGACCTGTCTATCTAACGTAACTCTGTTCTCACCCACAGACCTATCCTCTTTTCCCGTTGTGATCTCATATACATGCATTACTCTGCAAGACTCCAAGAGTTTCACTGGACAAAGGGCAAGAACACTGCAAGGTGACGAAGAGGAACACTGGATGCCTTCAGCTGAGGCTACAGCCCATGGATCAAAGGGGAAACACTCTCCCAGCGCTGAGAAGATGAAGCAACGAGCTGCTGCACGCGGAACACCTAGGAGGTCAAGCAGAACCACACACGGGGAAGGCACAGCTAACAGTACCAAGGCAACTGTACTGCTCGCGGTACCAGCCCCAAAAAGCCTGCACCTCCCTGCCACTTCTGTGTCAGCAGCGCTTCATCGCAGCCCTGGCTAGCCCTCCCGAAGCTGAACGCACTGCCAGTGCCGCAGGCTCCTCCACAGCTGCTGCCAAGCTGGTATTGCTACCGTCTACTGGTCGCTTTCTCACGCCACCAATTTGGCTCTTCTATTTTCTTCCCTTCCTGAGCAAACCTCCTATCACATGAGATGATGCCTCTTTCCTCCTCCTCTTTGCCATTCTTTAAGTGGACTTCCATCTGATGGCAGAAATGAGATACACTGGACTGGTCCTTTTCTGTGTATTTCTATTGCAGAGTCATTTCTCAAAGGACATCAGCACCACAGCAGACAAGATGCTGCAGCAGAAAATACAGGGCTCCTTACTGAACATACCAAGGACAATAACCCGGAGAACTCACAGGTAACAGAAAATCTCACGAAAAGCAAAATATCTATATAAACCTCAAGAAAGGGACTAAGCAGATGGCTGGGATCCACTGCAGTTGTAATACAGCACTGGGCTGCACATACAGCCATTCCCGGCAACAACGACCAACAATGACAACACCGTCCACCTCAGCGCCACGCTGGAGGGCTGATGAAGGAGGACTGTGTGCAGCCCGAGACTCCCGGTTAACACAGAAACCAACAGGTTTTCAGAAAGCAACAAAAAGGACCAAACATGCTAAAGGTGTATTTATAACAGAAACTGAAAAAGAAACTACCTTGGCTAGACAAAATACAAAGGCATCACTGTAGCCACTAAAGTGTAAAATAAGCAGAAAGATGCTATGTGGACATGAGGGGGGGTAGCAGGAAGTACAGGCAACTGGAGTAGTTAAGAAATTCAGGCTAAACTGCTATTCCCTGATGGCAACAGGTACCCAACTGCACAAATGATCTCCCAACAGCAGATATCCTACTGTGTCATTTTAAAATGGAATTTAGAAAACACTACGTCTACATAACTGCAAACTGCAACTTAAGACAAAGCTCAAGTCAGTGATGACCTTTCTATTTCATGCACGTCCATACAAGCGCAGAACAATTAGACATCCAACCTTGATCTCAACCTACCTATATATATATATGTCATTAAAATTGTACTTACAAACTCTATATACCATTTTTAAGTTCCATGACTTTGCTGGTTTTCAAAGGCCTGGTCATATATGCTACTGTGATATACTGCATGGAACGGATTTTGTGTGAATATCAACTAATAGGACTGGGTCTCTTCACCCTAAATGGGACGGGAGCGAGAACAGAAATCTCCAGTGTTGTGAATTGAATGGAGAGACTGGAGACTGATCAACTGCCCACTGTTTCTTCTAGTAAAAGAACTAGTCAAAAGCTAGAAGGTAGCAGAATCCAATATATTTTTATATAATAC